AAAATGCTTGATTGAAAAGCAGGGAAAGAAAAATTGTGATCGACAGTTGTCAAGGGTGGACGGTGGAAACAAGCAGCGAATTCGATTATGTGAATGAATGAACGATCCAGTTTGCGAAATAAAAAGTATTTTAACATAAGGAATACATTCTGATATCAGGCTTGCTACATTCTTATATATCTGTTCTAATCCTAGTTCGATAAGTCTTGGCACGCAAGAAATATCTCGCATTTCTGTTTGAAAATAAAACGCTTCTACTGAACTGTAAATCTATAAATGCGGTAACGTAAAAGGAATGATTTACGACTTTGGATCAACAGTCAGAATCTATCAATAATAAGATAGAATCATCAACGATATGACAACAATTCATCGAACGATAATCATTCATCAAATGGAAATGCTATATAACATGAGACTTTGAAGTGGATGAAAGAAGCGAGATTCAAACAGTGGAAATAGATACCGAATGTGAAATAACTTACAATATCAGTGAGTTCATGAAATGTCAGAGGTGAGTTATCTACTGTAGAACGATATTCTAGTCGCTGTAAAGCTTTCAAGTCACCTGTACTCACGATTGCATCACGAAAAGACGCATCCTGCAATGAACATTATCACACATCATTTTTCAGACCTTCCGATCGAAGTTGAAACTGGAGATTCGATGACATCGATAGGCCTTTCGAGTGAACGAAACTATTCTACTTTCATAACATTGAAATACATGCATTTTAGAGATTTTGACCGAGCAATCGGTTACAAATCGTATTTTTAATGAGAATTTCAAATATTCATCGCCTCTATTTTGATCACCATTGCCGCTATCTATACTCAGTATCATTGGAAGTGAACACGTATTACAGGATGTATAAAGGTGATTTTCTTTCTGCTTATTAATCGTCACCATCAGCAATCATCTTCACCATAAAAGAGGATTATTCGAAAGAAATGTTGGTTGGCTGAGATTAGAAGATTCTCGTTTTCTAACTTCTCATAGAACAATAAATTAAAATTCGGCAAGTGACAGACAAAGTGGAGGCGACATCAATAGAGCTTTCTTTCTCATTTGCAGCAATGTTGGTGCACTGCAAATTGAACATCTACTCCCATGACACCAGTAAAAAATTCATCGTTTCTTATTGATGTCGGTTTATGTAGAATTCTTCACTATACACTAGCCGTCTTAACGTGTTTGCTTTGGAAGCTGATCAATTTTTTACGTTTCTGAGAGGACGATAATATCGTTGATTAGTTGGCTGAGAGAAGATTAGAAACAATGAAATACCATAAGAGCAATTCGAAATTGATTGAAGTCCATTTCACCAAATCCAGCCAAATCCCATTTCGAAAATGCTTTCGAAAGACGCTGAAAGAAAGCAAAAGAAAAATATGTTCAACGCTTTTCGCGTTCCATTGATGAATTGTTTTTTTCGGATGAAACGAATACGTAGCAGAACTAAAATAGATTGAATTGTATATGTGCTGGAATATACTCAAGAAAGCCCTTCTTGAGTGAATTCATTTGAATGAATGCAAAACATTCGAATCACGTGCACAATCACTCGAACATTGCACTGAACTAGCGAAGAGACCTTATCAATGTTTAGTCGTAAAAACTTCCACTAAACGAATATTTTTATTATTTGCTCATCACTAGTAAATATTTTCCGTTTTATGCAAAAAGCAAATTTTTGAGTGTTCAACTCACCTTCCAACGTAAATTCGAATCTTTAGACATGTTGAGCAGCAAAATGCAATGCAATTCTTGGTTGAAGACCTGGAAGAAGCAAAGAATAATTCTCGACAGACTTTTTTCTGTGGAGAAATGTTCCAATCTACGTGCAGTATTTCTTAGAGCTATGTCGATTAGAGCCATCAACTATTCATTACTCTTTGAGGATTGAAGCAATGCTGTGCAAAATCGAAAGCGAGTTCAATCGCCGTGCGCGACGATTTTATATTTCCGTAGCACAAGAAGATTTTATTGTTCAGTGAATAATTTCAATCAGCAATTGAGCGAGAATTCTTTCAAGTGCACTACGTTCAAGTGCAATACTTTCAATGACAAAAAGATATTTTGAAAATAAAAACGAAGTGTTGTTGAACTGCTGATATCGTAGATGAATTGAATCCATGGACTGGATTCTGGTGATATCTTCGGAGGGATATAATAGGATTTATTCTTGATCACCTACGTCATTATCAAGAGGCGGGGCTTTGGTTGTTATGCGAAGTGTTTCTGTTGAGGTTAGTGGCATGAACGAAATGGAGTAGTATGAGCGATTGAGAGAGCAAAAGCGAGTAACAGCTAGAGGGTGACTGCGTATGTGTTCCATCTTGAAAATGGAATGATATCGTGTTAATCGTCTGGCAATTATCAGGATTATTTTTGAGAGTGATCGTGGCATTCACACATGGCGATTAATTCGGATTTGTTTTAAAGCGCTACAGCACGGCTCGAGATTCAAGATCAACACTTCAAAGAAGCTTACGGGCAATTCTCTCGGAAACTGCATAATTTTCATTTTGGATGATTATTATTGATTCATTCATTTGCCTCTTAATTATTGTTCTTTCCTTTATCTTTCATCAAAATACCAGTAGCTTTGAGCTTTGTCAACCTCTGTTCGGTTGTGCTCCGATACACCTCAATTTTTGTTGCAGACATTAATTTCCTCTATGTGTTCGGTTTGATCAGTATCTTCTTGAACGAGGAATAAGCACAGTTTTCTGATAACATACAATCAGAGCATCCTGTTTAGAAAAGCGCTAAATTTAGAGCACTGAAAACTGAGTGTACTGCTGATATGAGCATGCATCCGCAAAATATCAAAACATTCAGCGTGGCAACATCGTTCAGCTCTAAATTGCAGATCTAGTGCTACAAAGCGATCAAAATTTATCAGCTTCAATTATGCGTATGAGGTAGCATTAGTGATAACAGGTAGTTGGACTTCCGCTTTGAGCAATTTTGCTTTTTGGTGTTTAGGCGAAAACATTTATTCC